TGTGTGTGATTATTTTCTTCAGCTGAGAATAAATACCTCATTAGTCTTAGCTGGTTCAGTGTCGAAACTCTTGATAGGGAAGAAATAATAGTAATAGGCTTGCTCATCCTGTGCATGGACCTTGTTCATATTCAGACCACCAAACAAATTCTCAAGTGCCTGTGCTCCTTGAACTGAGCCAGATGTCATGCTAGCCAAATCCAAGAAAGCTCCCTTATTCACTGCTGCCTGATAAAGAGCTGCCAGCTCCTCTTTTGACAGAGGCTGAGGTAGTGGCAGTTTTTGTTTTATATGTTCTGCAGGGCTCTGGTCTAACTCTGTTCCTGCCTAAAATAAAGAATTATTTCAGTCAATTTACTGCAAAATTCATAGCTTTGATTTGTTTAAATTCTTAAATAATTATACAAATCTACAATTTGATATGCTTTTTAACATAATTGGAATTATCAGCATTCTGACCCATTCTATCATTACTCAGTCACATGGCATTCTTACATGAAACATTGTCTCTATTAAATAAAATCATATGTCTTGCAAAGGCTTGAAATTTGGTACAGACCGCTGATTCCAAAAATATGTCTTGTGGGACCCTCTAGTTATGCAAAGGCGTTCTTGGGGTTCTACATATGTCCCTAATACTGTACTTCATCATACAAGCCAGGCAAGACAGTAACTTTCTACTAAAATGTTAAGTTATAAAGCTGTTTCTGTTGCCAAGTCATTCTTTATCAACTAAAGGAAAAGCACTACATTAAATACTTAATGTAGTACATGGATTTTCTAATAATAAATTAGAAACTTTTCTCCTCCTAACCTCAGGTGAGCTGTTTTTCCTTGTTTGAAACATGCAACAGAGCTTATATTTAATGTTCTCTGTTGCAACTTTATTCTTTTCTCTTTTATTGGGTTAATACAGCCCGACTGCATTAAAATGAACACGTCTGAAAATAAGGACCATTACAAAATTATCAAACCTACAGTTGGAAGAGGAGTTGGTCCTATGATTTTTCCTGCTATGTCATGGTGAGTTCCATCTGTAGTGTGAGCCAGGTTGATACTGTTCCACAGAACTGATGATTGTATCCGTTCACTTTGTAGCTTGTTTATGACAGATCTGAGGTACTCTGACCCAACCTCCTCTTCACACTTGCTTATTGGAATTGACACCACATTCAGTATCACCAGCATATGCAGACACCTCATTCTGAGAACAACAGAACTGCTTTCATGACTTAATCTAGTTTTAATTAATTAATTGTAATTAATATAACCAGATAACCATCCAATAGACTATTTCAAACACACTGGAATATCATACTATAACCTATAAAATGAAAAGAGCCTTCAGGTTTGAGAATGGTGGGAAGGATTGGCATAGAACAGAATGCATCAGCTACTTGACTATGTTTAAGATGCAAATTTATTAGGCAAAATCATAAATATCATGAAAAAGGCAATATTATTTTAAACGGTGTAAGGAAACTGGTCTAGAAATAAATGTAGAATAAATTTAGAATATGGTCATGTGTCATCACTAGAATGCAGAACAAAATCTTAACATAAGGAGATATAAAAATGTTGCCGATTTCAAGCACTTAAAATGACAGTAACAGTAAGAAAACAGTATTCATAATAAAATTATAGGAATATTAAATTTGAGAAATGCTTATTACTCTTCAATTCAAAACATTTTATCTTCCAGTATACTAAATGCAGGCCGCGCCATGGCTCAAGCGGTTAGTCGCTGGCTTCCCACCGCGGCGGCCAGGGTTCGATCCCGGGTCTGGTCAAGTGGGATTTGCGGTGAACAAAGTGGCGCTGGGGCGGGTTCTCTCCTTCGGTTTCCCCTGCCAATCTTCATTCCACCAATTGCTCCACAGACACCCTCACCTATCATCTGGGGCTGGTACAATAGGCCCCGAAGTGGCCGCAGTACAAGGGACTTAGTCAAAGATGAGATCTCATGGCATAAGAACGGGATTTGCTACTACTGCGAAAGGCCGAACAGAGGTGGGAAGATTAATTAGTCACTCATATTGAGTAGGATTTCAATATTAATGTATATTTAATTAAATAACAGCGGAGCATTGCTGTCTTAATTACTCTGTACTCTTAATTCATATAATTATTTTAATAAGTCAGGTTAATTACATATTGAATTATAGGCCACGTCATGTTATTAAGATTAGAGAGGTCCCACTCACGGTGTTTCGCATCGTCCCGAAATGTTAGATTTTCCGGTGCATCGAGGGTAGCTCCTGAATGCGTAGCACGCTAGAGTCTGAAGCAATGATGTAATTCGCTTAGTGGGAGGTGGAGTCCAGCTGAGTCCACTCGGCACGGCGGCCACTGATTGGCCTATTGTACCTGCCCCGGGTGATTATGATGATGGAGAATTTGGTGGAATGAAGATTGACAGAGGAAACCGAAGTACTCGGAGAAAACCCTCCCAAGCGCCAATTTGTCCACCACAAATCCCACTTGATCGAACCCGGGCCGCCGCGATGGGAAGCCTGCAACTAACCGCTTGAGCTATGGCGCGGCCAAGCAATGATATATATCACACTGGTTTAAGTCCAACGCCACTAGTGACTAGGTATAATTTCTCAGTGGAATCTTTTAGAAGACCATTTGCATCTGGAAAAACAAGTCGTGGCGTGGAGTCGAGAGTTTCTATTCCAGTTACAGAGTGTCGCTCTTCCCTCTGTGGGCGCGAACTCCTTCAATGCAACAATTTAGCCGCAATGGAAAACAAGCCATAAATCCCAAAAGCTGGAAAACATTTTTAAGTTCAAATTAGATCAGGTCATGGCTTGCAACCTGCTTCCCAATAAACAGAACAAATGCCTCCCGATTCGGTTCGCTTCTAGTATTTCTCAAATTTATTCCATAACGAGTATAGAAAGTGTATTCTAAAAGAGTTAGACTCGACTTGGTTTCGAATCAAGAAAGGGACTTTTCAAAATGGCGGGTACACGTTTATTATTGTATAAGCAAGCCTATCGATATTCTTGTTAATTAAAAATATATATCGATAGTTATCTCGCTTCTTTAGCTACCACGGATTACGCTCTCTGACGACTTTGGATTCAGAATTCAGAAACAATGTTTCAAATCAGGTTGTCCTCCCATCATGGGTAAGGCCGATGCGAGAGTATAGATGAACCATGTGGTCTCCTGGGGCAGAATTATTTAGAAGAGGCACATTTTACAAACCATTTACTTATTTACTTATTTATGATCTGTTTCATTCATCCTTTCCTTCGTCCGTCCGTCCGCCCGTCTGTCCATTCATTCATCATTCAGTGCTTTTTGTTAAAGGGAAATTCATTCCTGCTGAAATTTCCTTCACATTTTGATTAGTAATTACCAGTAATGTGAAAATATTATGCACGAATACAATATATATATAATATAATATATAATGTGGTGTTAACCACATATATACGGTGCCAAATCCCAGAAGACTGCTTTCTTCATAGTCACCGCCGTGAAAGCCTCAAATCTTACATAATTAAAACTGTTTTAAGAATTACGGCACCAATGACAATTTTCTTCAGAGTGTTTGTAAATTTCATGTCATCAATCGTGACGAAATTTTGAGAAACGTTGCCTATTTTCATTTGTGGGATGGGGTTTCTCGCCGTCTGGGGTGAAATTTTTGCTTGGCTGGCCCTGACCACAGGCGACTCAGAGGGACCGGTGGCGAGTAATTTCATTTTCTGTCTAAATGTACTGAAGATTTAACAGACAAACGGGTTTTCATCATCCGTAAAGCACTGAAACCAAATAAAAATATTACCTTACTTAGTTTCCTTATCATAATGCTAAAAACTTAAGGACTAATTCCTGAATATAATTATGCGTGTTCGGGACTTAATTAGGCTCAGGAATAAGCTCTTCCTCATTATTTCATGCATTTGTAGGCCATCTCTCAACGCACGATTTTATTCTCAATATTGTTACAGTGTTACGATAGCTTATTCAATATAGTGACTTCGAGCTGGGCTACAGAGGAGTCGGGATTCAAATCCCGGCAGGGGCAAGAGATTTTGCTCTTCTCAATAATGTGTAGACCGGCTGTGGGAATAACGCATTCTCTTATACAACGGGTACAGGGACCGATGTTCCGGGACTGAAGTGGCAGGGACGTGAAGCTGACCACTTATCTCCACATAGCACCGAAGTTAAGAATACTGGAGCTATGCTTGCATTTCCCCATACGTCTTTATGGCTTGATGTTCAATAAATTAAGGACAGGGATATCTTTACTTTCACATATATTTAAATGTCTTCCTGTTTACCATCCATTTCCTTCTGTCCTCAGTTATCTTCGTTTCGTATCATTCTTTATATTTAATTAATACAATGATTAAAAGGTAAAGTAAAGCTATTCCTGTAAGAGACTGAGGAGTCCCGCAGGTTTGTGAGACGTCAAGGTTCTCACATCTTGTCAATCGGCTCATAGATGACGGTGAGGTCAGCTTTACGCACCATCCCCGCTTTACCCTCAAAAAGATTCCTGATACTCATTTCGGTTAGAGGCTGAGTCGACCCCAGGGCCATAGTGCGGCTGGAAGAATTGGATCAGTTGAAAGATTCAGTGATTTCATCGTGAATCGAATCTGCGCCCTTCAGGATTGCAGCATACTGCCTCAACAAACAACGCTGCCGCGTGCCCCCAAGAAAATAATTACGAAAAATATTGCATGCAATTGTATTGTTCCCCTTTCACCCCTCCCATGATCATCCACTGATTCTGAAGCATATACCCAATTCCGAGCAGAATTTCTGCCACTGCTCTTGCTACACTGTTATCATGAGGACACGTGTGTTGTGATGTAACTGACGTGGGGACATTAAGGTCACTTCCCGAACAGGTTTTCTATGAGTTGTAGTACTGTTACAGAGTAACTGGACCATCAGAATACGCTTTTTCATCAAGCTTTTATTTATAACAGGCGACGTAGGATTTAGCAGAGTCTGTAGAGTTAACAACCGATTTACTTCAACACTATGCACATTTCTTCTGTTGCTTCTTGGTTTAACTGATGCTCTCTCAACTTAACTTCAACACTACGCACATTTCTTCTGTTGCGTCTTGGTTTATGAACTGATGCTATCTCAACTACGTGGGTTCAAATTGTTAAATTTCAGGACGACTGTGACAGATGAATTGGGAAGGGAGTCAAACATGGCGGCCGGACGAGAAGAGTAGTCTGACCTTCAAAACGTTTCCTTTTTCATGAAAGGAAAGTTTTCAAGGTCGAAAGTAGCAGTGACCTGTCATAAGATATTATCCTAGTATGTACTTTCGTGCTGAGAGTAGAGAAAGGCAATGAATGCCTCAGAGTAAGTTGTCTTGGGGATAAGACCGAAACTTGGGACCTCCTGGACATGTGGATTGACAGGCAGTGAATGGACTAAGTTTTTCTCATACTCTACAGCACGCGCGCACGCACGCACACACACACACACACACATACTCTAAAATGTATTAGTCGTTACAGCCATTAGACTTTTGCAGCATTATTAACAAGCTCGAATTTTTTGTTTGAAATGGGTAGAAAAAACATGAAAATACGGAATTCATTTTTATACTTCTAAGGACGTTCTTCCACTGATACTGAACTAACGAATCTGACGTTACCACACTTTGTTACATCTTTAATAATTTAAGCAGTTTACTCCTGTTCTACAGCTCTCATATATCGAGCGAGTTGGCTCTGATTTGTTTTTGGTAAGTGCCTGGTTCGAATATCCGCCGGGACAACGACTAAAATAACTGAGGTTCCTCTTGATTTTCCTCAGCTCTTCCAGGCAAATACTGGGATAATTCCCTAAAGAAAGCCATGGATGCTTGCTTCCATATCGTTCATAATTACTATCCCCTACAATTGTCAATCAAAGCTGACGGAGTCGTTAAATGAGAAGCAGATTAATAAAAACTAAAGCTAGACCCTACACACGACTGGAATTTCGATCAAGGGAGGACAGGCTGACTGCCTGGGATATGGGGGATGACACGAATAGGACGAAAAACTGGCTGTTCACATAAATCTTTGGAGCTGTAAATTCTTAGCAAGAACACTATCTGACCGACAAGAGCAGACAGAAAGCACAAGCCAAATTGATTTGTTTTATGTACATAAATGAGCTGAGCTACTAAGTTTTCAACGTCACTACTATTTTTGACTTGAAACACCTTACTCCTGTATTCATAACATACCGACCTACCGCATACTTGTCCACAGCAGGAGAACTGGGAAAATAAAATAATGTCTAAGAAGGAAATCAGCAAATTGAAACGAGGAAGTTAGTCACAACGGTAAGAAGTAGTAGTCCTATAATACATCAGGTCCCTCTCTCTGATAAAGACTTCTGTGTAAGACTTGAGATTTTCACGGCAGTGACTATGAAGAAAGCAGTCTTCTGGGATGTGGCGCCGTGTAGATATTGTGTTTACCGACGTTTCGGAGGAACGTATCGCCTCCATATTCAGGGTAGAAGGAAAAAGGAAAATCCGTTCGCGGATTTTCATTCTTCTCTTTTTTTTTCTTTTCTTCTATCCCGAAGATGGAGGCGATACGTTCCTCCGAAACATCGGTTAACGCAATATCTACACGGTATCACATCCCAGAAGACGGCTTTCTTCAAAGACTTCTGTGATTGTCAGAACTGTTCTAGAAGTTGTAGTTTAAATTGGCGCGACATTTTGAATTCAGGTGCATTCCTGCTTATGAAACAATAGCTTCAGAAGTGTGGTAATGGTTTTTTGCCTTCTCAGTTCAACGGCCAGTATACGAGTAATATTTTGTTAACACAGAGACTGGTTGCCTCTCAACAAGGACTCAACACCGTGCAGTCAGTTCCTTCAACTCATCGGCGGCTGTTGTTGGACTTTTCTCTCATTTTTTTTTTTACTTGTTATGCTTTGGGCTTCTTATGAGGATAGTCATTCAAATCCTATATGTTACCAAATTGACGCCCTTTTTCTCTTATTGCGATATCGTAATACGCTGTGACTGTTATTCATGTGATGTTTTAAAAATATGTTGCATGAAAATCATCTCGAAATATAAAGAGTAAGCCCTGTGAACATATTTTACACATACGTACTTCGCGCGCATGCGTACATACTCGTACAAACATTACATGCAACCGTACAGTAACACATGATCAGATGTGTTGTGGGGTACTGAACTATATGTAGTGTGAGGCCATGCGGAAAAGTTAACAGATACACTACCTTAAACCGTGCCACTGTTTGTCACTATGCTGTGTTATTCAAGTGGATCACTATGTAACTAGACCAGACATTAGTCACAACAAAAAATATGTTCCATCGAGAATCAAGACATCCGTGAGCTACTACGAATATGTTCTCCGAGAAGTGACACAGATTCAGCTGTTTAGAACATGACAGAAATTCCTAGTGGAGCTATCACGCGTGTTCCTGGAGATGAGTAGTTCTACTAATATTTCCTATGTGAGCGACTTTACATGTATTCCCCTGTAAAGTCGTACGTTGGACTAACGATATAATGCGTTCCCGAAAACTGATCGCAAAGGCACAATCGCAAGTGTAATTCTTTGCAACGTGGAACGTAAGCAGTTATGTGCCTAAAGCTCGTGGTTCGTGCCAATCAATTAAGGCTTAACTCATATTAGGCTATATTTCTCTTGTTACTTACTTACTCATGGAGCTGTTCCCATCTGGAGGAGCCGCAAATTCTGCAGCTACTCAAGAAATTCCCAGCATTTATGGAACACAAAGCTTCATTACCGTGTTCACAAGATCCCTCCACTGGTCCCTATTCTAAGCCAGATCAATTCGTACCATCCCAACTTATCTAAGATCCATTTTAATATTGTCCACCCACCTACGCCTTGGTCTTCCCAGTGGTCTCTTTCCTTCTGGCTTTCCCACCAGTATCCTATACGCATTCGTCTCCCCAATCATGCTACATGCCCTGCCCACCTCATCCTCCTTCACTTGATCCTTCTAATTATACTTAAAGAAGAGTAAAAGTTATGAAGCTCCTCATTATGAAGTTTTCTCCAACCTCCTGTCACTTCATCCCTCTTCGGTCCAAATATTCTCCTCAACACCCTGTTCTCAAACACCCTCAGTCTATGTTCGTCCTTTAATGTCAGAGGCCAAGTTTCACACCCATATAGAATCACAGGCAATATTATAGTTTTGTACGTGTATATTCTAATTTTTATGTTTTTGGACAGCAGGCGAGAAGACAAGAGGTTCTGGACTGATTGGTAGCAAGCATTACCCGAGTTCAATCACCTCTAAATTTCCTCCTCAATCAGGTTCCGATCTGTTGTCGTTCCTAAATATCTGAACTGTGCCACATTTTGAAAACATCTGTTTCCTATCTTTATGTCATGATTTTGCCCTGCATTTTGGTTACGAGACAGCAACATATACTTAGTTTTCTGTGTGTTTCCTTCTAGACCAACCTCCTTGCTTG